AAAAAAAAAAGAGAGGAAAAATATACTAGCATAAAAGTAATGGCATTTTCTTCAACCATAAATATGCATAATTATGCTGACACAAAGTATGTAACAAACTTAGCAAAATCTGCATTGATTCGTAGCCAAGAGCCCTCAATGACAAAAAAAAAAAAAAGGTTTGACAGTTTAAAGATCAATACAACTTTTTTTAATACACAGAATTTCCACAGTCAGTTTAAACTTAACAACCTTTATAACACACGCTATAAATCACAGTGATTCACACACTTTACTTACGGTAAAGAGCGACAAATCCATTATTTAGAAGTACGTCAAACAAGATGCAGCAAGGATACAAATTATTTTATTTTTTTGCCATATTCGCGCAAAATTACACAAGAGCTAACTGAATTAGCCATCCTTAATCGAGAACTGGTACCCTAGAGGGAAGGCAACAGCCCTCCACCAACACTTGGGCTACTCTTTTCGAATTGCAGGATTTAACCACTTCTCTTATAACTTACTCACGGCCTCAAAGTAGACAAACCGATTTCGCGACAACGGGATTCAAAGTATGGTCCTTCAGATTCATGGTCCGGCACGTTAATCGCTATCACGCCTAGACCAGATGAATTGTGTAAAATATATTCACGTTTTTTAAACCGCAATTGAGGATTGTATCACTGAAATAAATGCTATAGGTTCGCAAGTTATGGTTTGGGATCGCAGAAAAAGGCAAATGTGAAACAAGTTCATTTTTATATTAAATATATTTATGAAATATCTATCATAAAATGTTTTTGAAGAAATAAAAACGCGAAATATAAGAGTGCTACCAGACTTTACAAAAACATAGAAGGTTAACTCCCAGCCCTGGTTGAACATGGGTACAGAAAATTTCTTGGGATCGCAAGCTATAGTTCAAGAATCCTTGCTCTAGGATATTTGAAGTAGGCTTAATATTGTGTTACTTTTTCAGTTATATATATAACAGAGTAACACTGCTTGTTATAAGTGAAAATACTGTCTAAATAACAAACCATAAAGGAATATTTGTGTAATTTTTAAGTTTTACCTAATAATCATTATGTAACAGGTACAAAACAGTACTAAGCTTGCGACTTTACTGAACAAAATTAATTTCAAAACTTTTATTAAGTTCACAGTTCATACATTCAAATAAAACAAATCACAGTTTACTTATTTTTTATGACAATAATAGTTAGGAACAGAAGGCAGCTATATTTTGAAAATATTTCATAAATTAAGAAGTTGGCAGTGACATGGTTCACAAATTTATAAAAGTTGATTGTATTTTACACCAAAGCTCAAACTTACCTTATATAAAGAAAATATAATAACAGTTTCTTAAAGACAAAACAGTACAAAAAATAACTACAAATGGCACTACCGGTGGCTAAAAATAAACCATCTAAACAAACTAACAAGAAAACTGTAAAATTATCCCATTTTATTTTGTAAAATAAGATTTTGGATTATAGTGTAGGTTTAATCAACTTCTGATCAAAACAAGCTACCAATGTAGATATGTTTTATTGAACATGACTAATTATACTGTCCATACTACCTTACAATGATAATAATGAATTGTTTCATTACTCGGGTGCCCTCACTGTTAACACTATTTTCGGCCGTAGTTTTATTATGGTAACCACTTCATAAGAGCGTCTAGATGTAAGACAACAACTTGTACAAGTTTCAATTAGTACATTTACCAGAAACAAAACTTAAAATTTTGCTCAACCTCACTAATCTATAAGCACAGAGAATTGTTATGCATTAAAATAGCAAACTTACATAAACTACTAATCTAAAACGAGTTTTTCTTAACTTGCCTTGACAAAAATGTAAATTTTCATACGGTTATTTCACACTAGTGGTTCCCAACCTTTTTCTTCGCTGCATGACCTCATTATAACTTTTGAGCCAGTGGCATACCTCTGACAGATATAATTTGTTAAAAAAAAAGAAAAATAAAGACTATTTTACATAAATAAAAAGCTAAATAAAATTAAATGCTTCAAGGGTAAGTTAATATGCTAACGTTGAGCGCTGGTTAGAGAAAAACACTGATAAATCACCGAGACTGCCCTCCAATGTTGAGGCGTTACGCTATTATTACTATTATTATTTAAATGTTTTCATAGGTTATCACGTAGTCGTGGTTGGGAACCACTATTGTACACCAGCACTTAACAAAAGTTGATATTTTAACACCTTCTAGTTGTAATGCATCCACATGAATGCGTTCCCTCAAAACTAGATATTGATTTAATTAAAAAAGCTTTCGAAGCAGCAATAATTTTTTGTGATCGTCACATCAACCAAGTTTAAATTAAGGAAGAAATTTAAATCGTTTCAAGTGATTTCTTTTCGCCCACACTCCAACAATGAAGGATTCAATGTCGCACTCGTTTTGACCTCGAACAATGCGGAAGTAACCTTCCTCACCCCAGCCTTGTCCCCAAGAGTTGGCACATAGCTAATACAAAACAGAAAATACAGCAGTGGTTATATATGTGTTAAATATATTATCTAGTTAACCTGAAAATTACACAGTAAAAAAATATTACACTCAAGCATGAGAATTTTACTACAACAGTTTACAGACAAAAATAAAAAAGGCCTAGTAATTATGTTTTCTTGTACCAATATATAATTGTTTGAGTTTATTGAAAATAATAAACTCTATAATGATTATTTATTTTTACAATGTTTTCAACACTAACGAAGTTTTAAAAAAAACATGAACAGGGTCACCTCATAGATTGGACTGGTAATTATTTATACTAGATTTTGTATTGACGAATGGCTGGCACGAATAATAATTATATATCTAATGCTGAGACACCCTGTTGAGTTGCAAGCGTCACAACATATATTTCACATTGAATAAAGTTTGTTCTCGTCTTCAAATTTGAATTCATATTGAATATGAAAGTGTAGCGTACATAGACAGCAGTTTGTTTCGGATATTCGCACAAAGCTACACAGTAGCTATCTGTGCTAGCTACCTCACTGGTGGAATACAGCTTGTCAACAACACCCACCGCCAACAATTGAACTACTCTAATTGAAAGTGGAATTTGACAGTCAATTTTTATAATGAACCCTCGGCCACAAAGTACTGAGCGAGATCTTCCGGAAACAATACGCTCAATATAGACGTTCAAATTCACAGTTCCACACGCTAACACTATGCTACGCTTGGCCCCCAACACAGAACTGTGGGATTCTATCATCACACAATTTAAAAATTATAGCTTAAATATATCTCCTAGAAAAAAGTATAAATATGGGTAAATATCAACCCAGAAGGTAAAGTGATTCACCCACAGCCTACAACTTTATAGTTTATCTAGTTTCATTCATTCACTATTCGCACATGTATGTTGTTTCTGTAGCCATAACAATATTCCACTTCCATTCATTTGAACTACTACTATTGCCATGAGTCACTGCTTAAACTCGTCGTAAGGACTATAACTGTAGAAATTATACCATTGTAGAAACATATATGGAATATGACTATTTATTTTATTTTTGTAGCTAGAGTAGTGTTTCTAAAGTTGTCTCGAACTTCTTGTAACTATAAAAGCATTATATAAATAAACAAGCCAAATCAGAGACTTTTATTTAGATATTTAGGATATTAATGAAACTAAGTCCCAACATCAAGTTAAAAATATGCCGATATTGTAACTATTTCAACAATATATACGAACTTGAACTAGTAGAAGATTATTGTAGCCAGAATAAACAGTAGGTCTAGTATTTCTAAGAAGAATTAGACTGCTGCAGATGTGTATGGGAGAGGGGGGGGGAAGACCGCAGCTAAGTGACTTATCAAGCGGCTATTGGACTCGCATGCATGCTTCACCAGCTTTCGGTGTGTTACGTCT